GAACAAGTTCCAGAGAGGTGTGCTGGAATGGGAAAGTGGAGGTAGCACGCGGAAAGGACTTGATATCGTAACTCGGTGGCGTGAGGTAAGCGCACTTGGCATCATCCCCTGTTGACCTCAACCATGCAGGAACAGCACGTCGACACATTCGTCCTTTACGAACTGAACTATCTTTGTTCGCTTCACCTTGCACTTTGAGCCCACGGACTGGCAGCTATAGTGGCCCACTCGTAGTTGGTCTTTAAGCTTCTGGCGGCCGCTGATGACAATGACATTGCTGCGCCGAGTACGTCCGGATTCAAATGGGACCCATGGTACGAGGCTTGGGACGATCCTGGTCGAGTGACCGACGAACAGGAAGGCGTTTAAACACATCAGTCACCACGTGGATATGCGTCGACTCCAGCGTCTCCAAAGGCCAATTTTACACACATCGAATCTTTGAGGGCATACTGGGGAGAAGTGGGTTGAAACACGTGATCAAGTGTTGAGGTGGAAGGAGCATCCGGACGCTGTGGGTACCATTAGGTGATGTAAGCGGCATGCATGACAACCCCTAACGGTGGGGGGTCGCTGCAGAAGGCCCAAGTCCCTAAGATTATTACTATTAGATTGAAGGGCGGTGGTGATTGGAATAGATGCGGGCGCGTAAGCATCACGAATCGCATCCCTGTGCAATGTTAAAGCAGACCCATGTGAGCGCTTCAGTAGTTGGGAATGACAAATACGATGAAGCCGCCCAGCTCTTCTTCCCCTCCGCGTGGGTGCAAGACGTCCAATACCAAGTTTACGTATATGAAGCAATAAGTTGTTTTCCAGGGGTTTAATGGCGTTCAAGAAGTTATGCCCGCTGTTGATCAGAGAATTCCTATTCATTTTATTATCCCTTTAGATAGTTCAGAAGATAATGAAACGGCTAGTTTGGCAGCAGTAAGCGCATTGTTTACAAAAATGTGTTAGCAGTAGCTGCAATTGTTTGAATAGGGCACGCGTGTAGTTGAAACCGATGGTAAACAATGCAATGTGAAGTTTATCAAAATGAAAGACGGTAGTAACAGTGCAGCGAGTTACTACGCAGAACACAGTAAACAGTTGTGAGAAGAGTTCGCCGTTGAAAAATAGTTGATGATTAATTGAATTTAATAATAATTATTCAGTTCTATTATAGTAAACAAAACTAACATCACCTTTAAACAGCAGAATTCTCAACAAAAACACCGATACCAAAATTGCATTGAACACAGAAGGAAAATCACAGAAAAACATCGAAAATCACAGATCGAAAACACACTGCTGCCTATTTGGTGCAACACATAACACATGTTAAGACCCTTTAAATTTAAAAATAAAACCACTACTTTGTGCTTCAGGATATCTCAAAATTGGAAGAAAATTCCTTTAGGTAAAAATATTAAACAATAATAATTTTAAAATAAATTATACCTTTTATATCACAACCTAGTAAAAAAAAAACCGAAACAATGAGCCAAGTTTAAAAACCAATGATAAGTGTATTCACAAAGACATTTGATGCTTAACTCCCTTGGGTCTTGTAAGTTGGCAGTATTTTTTTTATTTATTTTTTTTTTTTTAGCCCTAAACATTTTTTTAATGTTAACAAAATTGAGAATGGGAGTCGCTTAGTCACTTCCTTGTTTGGTCACGTGATATGAGTAAGTCATCACTAGGCTGCAACACACAACAAAAGATACTTCATCAGTGCTTCCCCAATGTTATGTTAATTAAAAATTTTACCTTTCGTAATATTAAGTCATCACTAGGCTGCAACACACAACAAAAGATACTTCATCAGTGCTTCCCCAATGTTATGTTAATTAAAAATTTTACCTTTCGTAATATTATGGAATGCAAGCGTTTTTTAAACGAAATACATAAATGTGACAATAAATATACGTCAGTTATAATTAAAGGAAGAAAGTTATTTCAAGAAAAATTTGTGAGCGATATTCGATGGGAACTATCAATACTATTATCGGCAGGATGTTGTTGAGCTCCGTGCGTGCTCATGACGTCATTTGCGTTTTTATTCAATATTGATGCAGGAGTCATTCCCCTTTGTTTATTTTATTGTTAATTTTCATTGGACGAAATGTAGTGTAGTTGTAGTCAAGTTGTAGTGTGTATCGGGCTACGGTTGTCAAGCACTAGTGTGTTGTATACAGTATACCGGAAATCTTACTCGTTTTTACTCATATCACGTGACAAAATAATTGACTAAGCGACTCCCATTATTAATGAGAAAAAATTGAAGCCTACATACATTTCACTGAATGAAATAAGGAAATTAATAATTTTATTAAAAACTGAAATACAAGCCAAATAAGGGGACTAATTAATGAAATGAGAATTATAAAAAAATAGGATCATTTTTTTATCCTGGGAACCCAATTATCGTTAATTTAATAAACTTAGACTATTCAATTTTTTAATAATAAAATATAATTAGTTTATATAATCCTAAGTACCACATACATCTCATTTTATTAAACCGTTGAAAGTCTTTAAAAAAGAGTCATTGTCAGCGTGAGCAATAATTGCCATAAGCTCTCTCTGTCTCCTGGCAGCTACTCGTTTTGGTCGAATCCTTTTTGTTGAGGAGCAGGTGGTAATTTCTAATGATCAAGAGTGCATTGACCCTTTTTCAATAGGACTTGCGATGCAAAATAGATGCTACAGATTTTTGACTGCATGGTGTTATTACTGTTAATCATTTTACTTTCCCCTAATTTTCAAAATATGGTATTCCTACTCTATCAATATCATTTATCTTGACACTTGAATCTTGTCTTAGTTCCATACCTGCAACATGATCGCAAACGTACCGCCCTAGTCCTTTGCGACAAACAGAATCTACAGGTGAAGAGGTTAACATTTTTCTCTTGCACTAACAAAGTGTGCCAAGATTCTGACCAGCCCTGAGCAGTGCACAGACAGACACACATTAAATACATCTTATAGGCCTATTATTTATAAAAATGTACGACTATTTACACTCATTCAACTTTAAAAAAAAACAAATTTAATAACCAGTCAATTTTAAAGTGTAGCAAAGTGTGGGGTATAATGGTGGTGGCTGCTTGAGTGTGGAGAGGTGTCGGTGTGTGACACACTTTTAAGACCCTGCTCGCAGCGCCCAAAACTGTAGCAAAGTGGGGTGATTGGTCCTAATGATGAACGAAGCTGACAGTTTATCTAATATACACTAAAAACAAATTCAGGTCTTGAGGACTATGGCTTTATTATAAACTTATCATAAACCCTAACTCTAAAGAAAAAAGCTAAAGAAACAGCTAAAGAAAAAGGGCAATAGCTGAAAAGAAATAAATGGTACAGGTTAACAATGTCCTGACTAACATTGACCTACACAGCTAACAGTAAACATGTTAAGTAGCCGATAACTCTTTAATTACAGGTTGTGGCAAAATATACGTAGTAACGAAGAATAGAGTAGCCCATGTTGTTACAAACGGTCATTAAAATTATATTCTAAAAGAAATCACGTGGCAGTGTTGAACTTATATCATGGTTACAAGTCAAATGGACGGAGCTAACATGTGATTAAAACACTACCTAATATAAGTAAAGATGTGAAATCTTCCATTACTAACACCTAACCCTTGCATTCTACAAACAAAGAAATATAATGGCGTATTTGCTTCTCCTTACAGAGCGTCCAATGGGTCGCAGGAAACAAGGTTCACTTTAGTGATGCGTTAAAACTTTGAATCAAAAAAACTCATCAGTGCGTGTGAGACGTAAAAAAATGTGCGGACAGACCAGAGAGCATCTACGTCACACGACAAGTGAGACAGTCCATTACTTTGCCTTCTGGCACATTCCCTGTGGTAAATTAACAATCCCTTAGCGACTCCAACCCAAATAAAAGTAAAAATCGCGGATCAAATCCCTAAAGACTTAAATGTGTACTTTTCAGTAATGTCTCGGCTATCTAAGATTCGATCATATATTTCTATGAGTTTAATGGGGTTCTCTTTACATATTTTAAATAGAAGGAAGTTGGACCCCCCCCCCCTCCCCCCTAATGGATTAATGTGAAAACTCCCTTTATTGCTAAACATTACATTGCCTCCTAAAGATGTAGACTTGTAAATATACTAAGTTATCGCGAATAAAGTCCCCTTTCCAACTAGATATAGTTTATAACTTAATACACTAGGGTTCGCGAGAAATAAATAATTGAACTTGAATCAAAAGGGCACTAGGGGGTCTCCAATATTTAAGTATTCTACGCGATAGGTAAGAGGCTTTACATTCATGCTGCATGCATGTTATGATACCCTAACCCCGAGGTCAAATTCCCGCATTGGGCGCTAAACATTGTTTCGTAATAGCGTGGCCTACAATGCCACATTAGATTAAAATTTTAACAGAGAAAACATGATTATCGACGTCAATTAATCCCAACACTCCCCTGTCAACAAAGTTCAAACATTTCCAAACCCCCTCCCCCCACACCCCCCCCCCCTATTTTGTTGACATAATTAATGGACGCCCCTAACAAGTTCTTTGTTATGGAAGGCGTATTTATATGTCAATCAAAAATACCCAAATCACATTTCGGTAAAACTTAAGGCAAGTTTGTTTCGTTGTTGTTGTTTTTTTGTCTGTATCATACTATAAGATTTAATGAGAGGTGGAAGAGAGTATAGTATAGATCCTTCTCATTTGTCTTCTGCCATTTGTGAGTGAGCAGTAGCCCTGGCATTGGGACCTAACGATGGTTGCCTTATAATGGATGGCTTATTGTGCCTTTTCCCTAGCCAGATTTCAAATACCATCTTAATACATAAGACCATTCCATTCAAAGTACTTACGCATGTTAATTGCTACAACGAAATTATGCCTAACAGATTCCATCATTTAAAACAATTACTTATATGAGTTTAATCTAGTTAGCGATGTCATGGCATTAAATTGCCTCTTCACCGGGGTCTTTCGCTATTTAGTTTCCGTTAAAAGTCAACCTGTTACTGTTCCGGAACTTTTTAGTGTTGCTTTCCTTGAATAGTAAATAAATAATACAAAATAATATAATACTAGTTGATTAGGTCTTAATTTCAAATATTCTAAATCTCAAAGTTATGATGACAAAAGCAAGCAAATCTTTAGAATACTGAGAACAGGTATGGTGTTAACAGTATCAATCCTTATTTAAAATTTTAGTCTAAAGTTAAGTTTAGAGTTTAAGTTTAGGTCATTTCAATTTTAGACATTTTATAAATAAGTTAATGAATACAAGTAGAAGTTAGTGTTCATTGCTAGTGGTCTTAGAAGTCTAAAGCTACTAAGCTAAGAAGTAAAGAGTAAGAGTCTAAGACTGCTAATGCTAAGAGTAAGAGTAGAGTGAAACTAGGACTAAGTCATTTCACTAAGTCCCAATTTTGAATTAAATTAAATTTAATTAACTTAATAATATAAGTATAAGTCAAAGTCATATAGGCCCACAATTTCATTAGTCTTAGCTAGTACTTATTAAACATTAATAATAATATGCCTAGACTGGTTTGTTTTTGTCATTGTTATTTACTTGTAAATTTCTGACTATTGGCATTAGTTTGAAATTGGTTATCTAAAATTAGTCTTTTTAATAGTATATATACATCTTCTACAATCTACATGCCCTATTATATATTATTACTATCTAAATTTATGTGAACCTAATTCTGTTTTTTAACTACTTTTCTAAAATCATATTCATTTCAATTTTAAAAAAGTTTCCCAAATTCTTAGGCTGGTATTGTTAGTGGTGTTGGCGTTGGATAGGGCAGGTAGCTCCCTAAATCTAAACATAATTTAATACTAATGATGCACTCCAATGGGCCGCAATGGGTAACGGATAGAGTTCAGTTCAATGCTTCCTTCCTTAAATTGGTTTGGACCTAAGTATAATTCGGGATGAACATGGCAACTTAATTATATTCCTCAGATATGATGCCAGGCCTGCCGACAACCTGTAGAAATATGATGACTTAATTAATCATAATGAAACTTTATAAATTATAATTATACAATTTTCAGCTCTGTAAATCAGATCAAAATGGAGGCCATAGCCATAGACCATGTTGAGATGAGAAAAGACAGAGCAGCGTTAGAACGGTCACCTGAATCACAGGACAAGGTTAACTTTTAAAAAACCCTTTTCTGTTTTATGACTACATTCATTTTGAATTATAATTATAGTTTATAGCCATATATTAAAGCTAATAGTAGCAAATCCTAATGGTTTTAATAGATAATTTAATTATGCAATTACAATGTATCTACATCCATAAAACAATGAGAATTTAAAAACATTTACATGCTACTCTAAATGGACACTCCTAAATAAAATTGTTAGTGGAAGTTTTGTAATTAAGTATTTATAGATGCATAAATGAAAGAAGCAAGTTTTAAAATACTTTGTTGTAATTTTAATGTTCTATATCCTCAGTCGACAGGGGCTACTTTAGAAGCCAGACCTAACAAAGAATCCTTTGTTGTTAAGCGAGGAATGAAAGGAAAACCCAAGCCTCTGTACTTCTGGAACATTGCTGACGTGAACAAATGGTTGCGCAAACATGGGGGTGTATATTATGAGATGTATGGGGAGCTGCTTAGCAAACATGAAGTGACAGGTATACCGAAAGAAGAAAAAGCTTTCTATTTAAACAACAAAACTTTAAAAATATCATGACAACTCATTCTCATCCCATCTTCTTGTTAAGCTGCGTTTTTGAGAGCCTATTGATCAGTTTTCTAGCCTTTTTTTTAAAATCCAAAACATGAATTAGCTCTTTTGAGGTGGTTCACACCACAATTGCATAAAAGCTCAATGCTACTCCTGCAAATGTCAAGGAATACTACCTTAATAATTGTTAAATTTTGCTTTGTGTCTGATAATAACATTTATTTTTTTCTAGACAGCACTTACATGTCTTTCTATATTAATTGATAACATATTAGTAAATTGTTTTGTTTTTTAATAGAAAAGAGACTCATTGACTTAATGTTCACAGGATTTTTTATAAAAATATTTTAAGTGTACAAATATCTAGCACACAATCAGCTTTTCAAGCTATGAATGGTTGTCAAAATGCTAAATTTTATGTGTGCTTATTGATAACTATCATTTTTTTTTTTTTAAATTGTATTCAACTCCAGGAAGAACACTGATTAGAATGAATGATATCAAGCTTGAGAAAATAGGAATTTTGGATGCAAATCATAGGTAATGTATTGCTACCGCACTTCATTTGTTACTAGTATTTTAATATAGACCTAAATTTTTTATGTCTTAAAAAGTAGTATATCCGAACTCATCAACTTATCATGCTAATTTAAAAAACAAAACAGCCTAAAGATGCCAACTTCAGTGAAAAGGGTAACATTATTTTTAATATAAATTAAAGAAACTTGGCTCTGTAGAAAAGTAAAATCCAAAACATCAGTTGTTTTGTTGTGTCTCTACTCAATTTTTAACATACAGTGTGATATATATATATATATATATATATATATATATATATATATATGCATACATATAAAGAGATTTGAAAACATCTTTCAGACATGACCTTATGCAATTTATTTTACGACTTCGTCTTAAACATGAAATGAATGATGTTCGTGGGCTTAACCAGAGGGGTAAGTTAAATATAATTTTGGTGATTAAGAAATTGTGATATTTGAAGACTTTTGTCACTGATGTATTTTAAGTTTTCATTTTTTGTTAGCCATTTATTTATATTTTTAATTGACGTTTTAGGGCACAGAAAATAAAAAACATGTTGTCATTTAGCAAGAATTCCATCCTTCCAAGCAACCATTAGAGTTCAAAATTAATTTTAATTGCTGATAGGAAATAAGATGAAGGAACTGTGTAAAAAAAAATATCTTTCTTTGAAATTTAATCACCATATGAATTCAATCAATTATAACAGCTTTATAGCTTTGAAAAAAATTCAAAGTAGTATTATTTTGAGAATGAGATAATTTTAAATGAGGTTGGTTTTATTTATTTATGATTTATGTCTTGGCTTTCAGGGTCTGGTTTTGAGCTTAAATTACCAGAGGCCAGACAATCATCCATGGATAAATCACCGTTGGAAAAGTTTCCTGGGTCAAAGTAATATTCTAGTCCATGTTTGTTCAATGCAAGGCTTTCATCCTTCCATCTGCTTCTTATTAATTGGGACTGTTTGAAATGCTTTCATTCTGCGATACCTATTGTTAATTTTTAAAGTAATTTTTTTTAAAGAAGACCAGAAAATTCACTGTAAAGTGCCCTGTGTTTCGAAGACTACTCTTATTTACTCCAGTGGTCAGTGTTAAATTCTTTTATTATTGTTCAAGTTGAAGGCTCCAACACAACCAGGGGATCGATCACCATCTCTTAATCTAAATCTCTTAAGGAAGAAGATAGAATTTTGACAGAAAGTTTTTTTAAAAGTAATACCAAACTTGTTGAAAAAAAAAAACTTTTACAATATTCAGATAAGTATTTTGTTGTAAAAAGCTCTGTACAGGTACAAAAAAAAATAATTTAATGTGTCACGCATTGTGCTGATTATTAAAGAATATTTATATCTAGAGGATCATTTATCATTTTTATTTGTTCAGAGATTAATTTTTTTGTTAACATCACATTACACTGTTGTAAAGTGCTTACCATATGTGCATTATGTTGTCAAGTAATTTATTTCAAGTACATCATGCCTGGTTTAATAATGCAGAATCTAAAGTCATACATATGCTGTATTTCACTTCAGCTTTGAAAAATTTATTTTTGCAAACCAAGCTGCATAAAATGGGATTGCAAGCTTATCAATTTAACACATCCTTACTGTGGAGCATTCAGAAATTAATGAATTCTTTTGAAATGAAAATTGTAAAGCTGTCAACTTTTGAACTACCAATAGCAGGTATTAGTTTTATATTGATTATCTTTGTTCTTAAAAATCATTTTGATCATTCAAAGTTGAGTTAAAAGTCCATTCACAAAATAAAATCGAACTGATGTGTGTATTTATCCATTGTAGCTTATCATACGCAACATTCAGAAGTTTGAAAAATGAAGCTGAATGTTCGTCTATCCTATCTTGTGTTATTCCTTTGGTTTTAAATAAATCAAACATCTTATTCCAATTCTCTAGACATTCTATGACATAAAATTAAAAGGTATGTCTTAATCGACTTAATATTAAAAATTTTCTGCAATTAATGTTAATTCCCAATATTGTTTGCTTTTCTGTTTTTTAAACATGTTTTTTTTTTCTTCAAATTATGGGTCTTTTTAAACCTCTTGATATATATAATATATTTGTATGCACACGTTAACTGACAAACTGCCATCGTCTGTAAAGTAATTTTGATATATTTCTGTCAGTTGAGTAGAAATGTTCCATTTTTATTATTGCTCTACATTTTTAAAAATTCTTCCACCATAATTTCATTGGTATTTTAAATTTTAAATAAATTTTCCATCTTTCAGTTGCAGCAAAAAAAACATTGAATGAAATTTTGTCCTCACGTCATTTATTATTTATTTATTAATCATGTCTGAGAGAGAATAATTTTTGTGAAAGGTATAAAAGAAAATGTCAAAATAATGGCTGGGAATGACAATTGTAATAAAAAATGAGTGCTTAGTTTGGTGTTATGAACATCAACTTTTTTTTTACTACCATACTGAACCCTCAAATAAATAGCTTGAACCAAATGGTAACAATGGTAGTAGTCAATAACGGATGTTAAAATGGAGGATTATTAACGCTTTCTTATTAGTCAGTATCTACTGAAGCATTGAATGAGATGTTTTATTCTAAAATGTGTCATCTTTAGTGGTGCAATCCAATTTAATTTCACCTTATTTTACAATATCAATCAATGGCTAATGTAATGTAGAAGATACATTCCATTATTTGGGTACATGATAATTATGTGGTATGTTGTATTTATTTATTGAGCTATTTCCATCTGAATATATGCTTTGTAAGATATTTACAAGGTTTTTTTTTCAATGAACTAAAAGATTTGACATATGATAAAATGTTGTGATTTTAATATTTGTAATTGTAAAGCATTTACTTTGGTATTTTTTAATCAAATTTTGTTAAGTTTTTTTTTTTAATTGTTTGATTTTTAATCAAAATGATGTTGCCACATTTGAAACCACAGCTGCATATTTAGGAGAAACATTTTAACAAACTGATTATTAATGATATAGACATATTGTGGCACCATAAAATCTATTTTACTGTACCCAGATATTCAAAAATAAAACTCAGGAAATTGTTAAGATTTTTTTTTTTAAAATCTTAACTCTTCCTAACATTTCCTACCCCAACAAACCACTTGATTAATAAAAATGTCTGACAGCATTTCTTTGAAACTTTATTTGCAATAGGCTTATCAAATGTGTCTTTACAGTGTGGATTTGAATGCAAGGCTTTAAAATGATATCATCAAATAAGATTAGTTCTATTTTGTTTGTTTTTTCTCCTCATCATGTGTCTTACAGATATGATAACTGTTCATATTTCTAATATCTCTTTATATTTAAGAATTTTTTTTTGTTGTAATTTGAAGAATGATAAAATTGGGGCAGTTCTTCATCAATGACTCAAAGTTGCTATTAATATCATTATATATTCACAATTTATATAAGAAAGGGAAACATGTATTTCATGCTTAACTTTGAGGTCTACTACCGGTACATGAGTAGTTTTTTTTTTAAAATCTTTGTGTGTGCAGAATTTTTTTTTTTTAATGGAACTTTTAAATATATGTGCAATAAACTGAATGATAACATTGTACATTTACATGTGTATGTTATTTTTGAAAGTGGTTAATAATCACCTTTGAAAATCTATGCAGCTCATAAACATTGGAGAAAACATATACCTTGTAGGCATATGGATGGTGGTACTGGGGTATCCTGATAAAATAGGATTCTTTTATTGATCCATTAAATGGAAATGTTTTTGATTGACTGAAGTGTACATGTTTCATTTTCAGCAGCGATGTATGTAGATATATAACTATAACAATTTTAACACAAGACATCTAAAGTATATCCCAAGTCCAAAAATCGGCTGCCATATGCCATGTAACTTCACTCTCTTATTCTATATTTACTTTAAGAGTAATTATTTATATTTTGAAACAGACAGGGAAGCATGCTGGTAACCTCTGATTGATTGGGGAACAAATGAATTGTTATTTCTTTCAGTCCTAACTTTGATGGAATTTGCCTTGATCCAGCTGATGTTATGTTTCTGTGATGTATCCTCCAAAATTTAAATGACTAGTAGGGGGAGTCGGGGCATAGTGGATCAAAAAATTGTTCATAGATATTTTAATGTATTATGTCAAATTGATTGATTGCATCATTACATCCTTAAAATATGGCTAAATATAATCTACTTGCTCAAAGAGTGCTTCAAAGTGTGCAGGGATAAGTGATTCACTGTGCCCCAGTAAATGGGCACAGTGAATCACTACCTGGGACACAATGAATAACTACCTGGGGCACAGTGAATCAATATGGAAAATGAATCATATCTGTGGCTTACTTAAAATTGACTTAAATTATAGTGAGAATAGTGAATTTAAGGCAATTATTGAACTGAATGTTATTTGTCATATGGGAGCTTTATGTAAATTCAAACATAAACAGTTATTCAACCTATTTTTTTAAAAACTATAGACTCATTCATAGACATTGAAAATGCAGGCACATAAATATTTTATTTATTTTCATTTTTTACACAAACAATTTCAATTATAAAATATAAAATGACAAGCAAACAAATAATGCAAAAAATCAAATAAGAAAATCACCATGTGCTGTTAAATCTACATTAAAATTGAAGTTGCGAGCAACTCGAGCCGTCCCTCTTTGGAGCAGTGGCCATTGCAATTTACCTGCAATATCCTCTAAGGAAATAGAAGATATATCATTAACTCGTGGACACAAAGGAGAATGATGTTGGTCTCTCCCGCCAAAAAACTTAACCTCAAATGCTGTCATTATTTTCATGAGCATTTAAAATTTGTCCAACATACATTACTAAAGTTTTCTTTGTAGAAAACTTGACCAGCACATAATCATAACAAAGTAAACTACTTCGTTCAGGGTTGACTATTTCATTTTCAGAACCTTCTTCACCATTATCAGTGGAGTCATCATAAAATGTTCTATCGTCAACTTAATCATCTAGAGTTTTTGAGATCACTGCCAGTAGGCCTATTAAAAATCAATATTTTACAAACTTTCATTCTTCTGCAATTTAGTTTCTGTTTCTTTGGTTGTCTTATATTTTCCTCGTGCCCGAGACTCAGATGCTCTTTCATTGGAGTGTCAGTCAGGATAATTGTTCATTTTTTTCTACCCCACTGTGTTTTTCTCGGTTTTGGTTTTTGGGAATAGGCTAATATCTTCTGGTAAAGTTTTTGAGGGTTTATCAGTGGCTATTGCTGGAGGAGAAGAAACTGTAACAGTTGGTACAGTTGGATTTCCATTATTTTCATCAAAATCGTCAGTCTCTGCATTCAACATTTGGGTTTTTACTTGTGTCTGGTTGCTGAAAGGGGCAATCTCAATCAGTAACATAGGATGATAGAAATTCCTCAGCACTAAATACTCCAGGATTGAATGGGGGAAATTCCTGTCATTGAAATCCCGCTGTAATATTTTTTGGGGTAAATGTCAGAGGATAATATTTTGGGGGGTAAATGTCAGAGGCTAAGCATTGCTGTCATGGATTGTAATTGGTAGTCCAGGGTGATTGATCATAAATGCTTTGGCAGCTTGGTTATACTCATTTTTAAAGGGATCATACACTGCTTTGTCAAGTGGTTACAGTTTGTGACTGCAATGAGGGGGCAGTGTTAGCATTACAATGTCATTTTCTTTGGCAAGATCAATGGTCTTGATGGAAAGGTGCGTTTAATGGTTGTCCAATATTAACAGGACTGGGTGCTTTTGGGAGCATTTTGTTGGCAGGATAAAATGTTCCATATACAAATAAAAGTTATCTGCTGTCATCCATCCTGACTGATTCTCTGTCCCAACTGTTCCTGTTGGAGCCCCATGCATTACTGAGTTTTTAAAATGAACCGTTGGGAACACCATAAATTGTGAATTGAATTCACAGCAACACCAGTTGTACCGAGCATGGCTACCAATGTCGGCCGCTCAGCAGAAGTAATTTTTCCCAACTTGCCGATCAATTTTACAAGCAATAACTTTGGTATTCCCAACTTTGTGTACAGTACAACAGCCTGTCTCATCAGCATAGTATATATATATATCATTTGGGCCAAACTTATATTTACCCTGTGTTACGCACTGACTTGTGTTGGGAGAAATTAATCTCCTATTTTAATTGGCTCGTTGTAATCAGTGCCTAACAAAGGACGATACCACAGAATCAACAATATTAAAGATACGACCCAAAACAGTTTCTAGCCACAATTAATAAGATTTATTATGTCTAAAGATAATTACAAAAGAAAATAAAATAAAATTACAATCTTCAACTTACAGTATGGTGGATCTCGTACCGATACACAGTTAATACAATTAGAAATAATGATGCCAATAAATAATGCGAAATAAACACATATAAGTAGGAGCACACAAATACACAAAGAATAAAACACACCTCGTATGTTAAGAGAATCTATATGAAAATCTCCGTCTCTCGTCCGTGCCTGTCAATCCCTTATATAGGTGGGTCTACCGACGCCCAAGCCCTGCCTTCGAGACATTTCGAGAAAAATCCCAATCATTCTACCAAATACTATTTGGAACAGATTAATTATTTTTATTCGTTGGCGGCGTAAACAAGTTACTTCAAAGGCCTAAGCCACACCCCTTTGTGAACACAGCGTCTCATGCGGGGTCAATCAGAGGGCACGCACGAGAAATATGATGTAAACAAGCTCTCTATAACACCCTGTATTTCCTGAAGATTGTTATAGAAAGCAATTACATTAGTTTCATTGAAGCTTGCTGCTCTTGCTAAGCTGGTTGCTTCTGGTCTCCACGGGGTGAGATTATCTGAACGTTTGATGAAGTTTAAAAACCAATCTTCTCCCAGCACTTTGATTTTTATTCCATGAGTTTGGAACAGTTATCTTATTCACAACTGTATAACCAAATGCTGTGGGAGACAAATGAAAAATAATGATAATAATTTTATAATACTCTTATAAGCTCCTATCCATTTTGGAGAGATGGTGGTGTAGATCAGTGGTTCTCAACCTTTCTAATGCCGCGAACCCTTTATACAGTTCCTCCCTCATATGGTGGAAACCCCCATCCATAAAATTATTTTCGTTGCTACTGTAATTTTACTTCTGTTATGAATCGCAATGTAAATATCTGATATGCAGGGCGTATTTTTATTGTTACAAATTGAACATAATTGAAGCATAGTGATTAATCACAAAAAAACAATAGGTAATTATATATTGTGAAATATTTATTTCTAATTACAAATAAATGAAATTTTGTCTTGAAGCATGGTGTAGCATGGGTAATATGGCATCCTTCCGTCTACGTGAGACGATGGAGTAGCTATATAGTTCTACACTTTGACGAGTGGCTCACTAGGCCAATCCTAGAATGGCAATCACGGCCGCATCTCTCGCAGGAGAATGTTGAATCGGGGTAAATTCTTGATTTTCGAATTGTTCTTTTTTATTCGAGGGCCTCGTTTCGAGTAACTACTGCAATTTTTCACTCCTTCAAACACTGCTGTACGCCAGTTGGAGGGATTTTCGGCAATGAACTCCCATTCGTTTGTTTCAATATTGGCAACCCTCGTGCTTCTTTTGCAAACGTCAATAAATCTCAGGCGCGGTTGTCCAGTATGTCTTGTCCCCTCTGCCAACTCTCCATATAGCAAAATCTTTGGGATAGTCCGTCCTCCATTCTCCGTACATTACCTAACCAGCGAAGGCGTCTCTTGATAAGAAAGGAGAATATGCTAAACATGTGTGCACGTTCCAAAACCTCCACGTTAGGCCCCCTGTCCTGCCAACGAATGCGCAAAATGCGACGCAGACATCTTTGGAAGCTGTTGAGTTTCCGCTCCTGACTGGTATATGTGGTCCACACTTCGCTATCATATAGGAGCGTGCTAAGCACGCATGCCTGATAGACACTTATACGTAAAGACAGTATACGTACAAAGCCAACGTCAGTGCGAAGGTTGAGATTGTTTCTCTCTTACCTGATCAGAAATTCTCGGGACAGTCTTTGCAAGAGCACAACGAAGATGATCTTCCCCAACAAGTCTATTTTTGTATTTTGAATTGATTACCAACAAGCTGTAAAACCATGTTTCACAAAGATATGTTGTTGGAAATTGAAGAAAAAGGAGCAACACAGTCTCATGCTGAACAGTATAAGACTGCAAACACTTGATCCAGAATTTTGTAACTGGCATTGGAAATCAGTTCTCGATCCATCGCTGTTAATGATTTCAATGAACTCCTCAACTTTGACTGTGAATGGACTTCTGGCAAGTGCAAATGGGGTGTCGGGTAGATTTGGAAAGAACGATGAAATTTCGTCTCCACGTGTATGCAAGTGTTCTTTCACTGAATTTATCATCGTAATCCCTTCGGTTCAATGTCATGTTCCTCAAAGAAACCAGAGAATATAGGCAACATGTACATTTTATTTTCCTCCAATTGTTATTTGCCAAAGCTGAAATTAAAAATTAAATTATCGCATCTTTTCAGAAAAATCGAGGCATGTTGCATTTGATACTTGCAGTGATAAATTTAACTCATGATGACAAAGATGTCAACCAAGTAAGCTATTTTCTGCAGTTCACTTTTATCACTAAAAAGAGCTTCGAACTGCGGTCTTGCTTTCTGATTTAAAAAGTTTTGAGTTCATCACGAAGGTCAAAAACACGTTTTACACTGTTTCCTTTTGACAACCAACTCACTTCAGTGTGACATAGCAGAGCATTGTTCGGCTCATCCAACTCGTTGCACAATTGTGAAAACAGTTGACTATTTAAAGTGCTCGCCTTTACAAAATTGACAGAACTTATGACGCTTCTCGTTACTTCTTGTAACCCTTGTTGCAGCGTCTTCGTTGCTAATATTAGCCGATGAATCAATCAGTGAGTTTCGATGACTTTTAGTGACTCATTCAGTAACAAACGTTGAAATCCAGATTGGCATCCTAGCATTGCAGGAGCATTATCTGTGCCAACACCACAAACCTATTCCCAAGAGATCTCATGATTTTTCAGAAGTAAACCAACTGTGTCAAATACATCATGTGCAGTTGTCGTTTCAAGAGGTTTCCAAAAAAGAAACCCCTCTTTAAAGTCGCCATAATTATTATACCTCACGTAAACTAGTAACTGTGAACCGTTTGCAACGTCTGTAGATTCATCCGGCGAGATACTTATTATTGGAAGTGGAGCAGATTTAATTTCCTGGATTACTGATCAAGAAAATCAACAGGCATGTCATCTGTTCTTCTGAGGACAATGTCGTTAGATAAGGAAATTGCACTAAGTTTCGTAAAAAATTTGTCTACAATAATATTGAAAATGTGTGACATGTCTGATTTTTTAGCCGAATCAAATCAATCGGTTTCTAAGACCATCGGAAATGTGTGTTTTCCAATGATCTTAGGCGACCCCCGTGAAACGGTCGCATGACCCCCAAAGGGGTCACGACCCACACACAGGTTGAGAACCGCTGGTGTATATGCTAATGGTGGTCCAAGTCTTACTAGCGTGGGTGGTCCATATGGGCTCAAAGAAGTAAAACCACAAGAAACAAATAATAGTTAAGTTAAATAGAAGGTGTGACAATGAGCATAAGCTAGTATTTTCCATTAGGGTTATTTGTAGTATTATTTTACAGCATCTGAACAAAATGCTGGGGGGAAAATACCACTCCTCAGCTACACAAAATTTAAATTGTAGATCTTACTTTGCACTGCATAGCCCACTCTTTTTTTTCTGTGGGGGGGGGTACAGAAAGAGGATATGTGCTTGAATGATAAATGATTGAAATTAGTTAAAGTTGGGCTAGTTGAAGAGTCAGACTAGTCAGAGATGTCCCTGTCATTATGGCTATTTTTAGCGCTTCCCACCCAAAAGTCTGATATTTCTTCATCAGTGGGGCTGGCCTGATCCATCATTTCCGTCCTTTCGGATTGAACACGTCTTTCCGCCCCCATCCGCGAAATCCCAGGTGGTGTAAGTTCTTCTTTACATCATCGATCCATAGTAGTCTTCTGCCTGCATGTAGATCGTCTTTGCTGCTCCACAATTCGGCATCCTTTCAATGTCTCCTGTCCAGTGCGGTCTGCCAGGGCCAGCCCGACGGTTGCTGGCACCCTGTGCAAGCTTAACTTTGGCGTACCTTTTGAGTATAATCATTAACGGAAAAATTAGTTATTCGGTAATGAGTTTATTACCTATTTTTTTTTTAAAATCAAACAATGATCAATAAAATTGTTTTTGTTAACTTGTATCATAATATTGTTGTTATTGCAGTTTCTATTTTTCTTCCATGGTGCTCACATGCAATGCTGTTTCCTATTTTGGAAGATCCTTGATGGCGCCCTAAGCACACGCCGTGTACGAAGAGTGAGAATATCGTTTTTCGACCCTGGACCCGAGGTTCACACTTCACTATAATAAACTTACTATGGAATTTAAATATTTGCTTGGCACCCCTTTGGCCACGGCGCCCTGTGCGAGGACACGGGTCGCACACCCTAAAGGCCGGCCCTGAGTCTGCCTTTTTGTATTGTTGCGACTATGGGTGAATCTTTATACCAGTGGTATAGCTCTTGATATGTACGGATTTCCCAAACAAAATTGTCTATATTTGTTTCAGAATTGTCCTCTTCCATGTATTGAGCATTTTCTGTGCTTTTCTGGTAGGGACCATGTCTCTCTTGCGTAAGTTACTACTGGTCTTATGGTAATGGTGTATATTGTTGCCTTTATTGTTCCCCTAGAGAGGTTTTTTCTGCCCAGTAGCTTTTGTGGGCTGAATTAAGAACCGTTGACTGCTGTTATCATTTCTTTCACCGCTGACATTATTTCATCGAAGTGGCTAATAGATGCAGCCTTATTTCATTGTGCTCCTTTATAGATATTTGAACGTAGCCACGTATAGTTGGTGTATGTTGATGTTTTATGAAATAATTTCTCCAGGAGGCATCTAATAGTAGAAATATAAAAGTCTGAAATGCCCCTCCACACTGAAATTAAATATGCACCGAAATACATCACTGAATTTTGATTTGATTTTTTTTCTTAAATTAAGGGGACACCTGCCATCGCTTTTGCTGAGTCCTGTCAGTCAGCAGTCAGATAAGAAGAAAACCAGCGAAATGCAGTTCCAGTGATGCCTGCCACATTCAGAAGTTTTGACAGAAGAAGCTCATGGTCAATCACATCAAAAGCAGCAGTGAGACTGAGATCCAACAGTAACAGGCCCAATATTGTCAGATCGCCACGGTCAGCACGACAAAAAGAACATCATAACACGGAGCAGTGCTGTCTCATAGCTGCGCCCAGGTCGATATGCGGAATGAAACTTGTCAAGCAAGTCATTCATAAGTTGTTAGATGGTGCACAAGCTGCTGTGATATAGCGCTAGCAAACTTTGCCGCAAACTTATTTGTTTTCCAACGAAAGATATCTGCCACAAGCCCTGTCAGTCCGGTGAAAAAAGTTTATTATTATGTTGTAAGTGTAAGTGTAAGGACCGTCCTCGTATGCAACCTGAACGCAGTCCTCCCAGTATTACTTCCAAAACATTATAGAAAGTTGCAAAAAAAAAAGATAATTTTAAATGCTTAAATTTAAATTAATTATTTTTTTCAAGCGCGAGATCATGAAAATTTTAAATGAAAATAAGCTTAATTAAAATTGTATATATTATTAATTAAAATTGTATATATTATTAATTAAGCTCAATATATTTCGGTTCCACTTTTATTATACTTTTACTTGACAATGTATTTTGACTATGCTCCAAATTTATGGTCCATATGGAAATGTAAACGGCACGATGTTCAGTTTTTTTCAATTTAGAGACACATAAAATTGAGAAATGTATTAAAGTTCCTGTTCCAAAAAATAAATATTTATCTCTTATTTTACAATCAAAATATGTTGATTCTTAACTGATAAGTTTCATTCTTTTTAAAGATTTGATATAAATTATATTTGGATCATAATAGGTAGGACTTATTTTCGGAAAAGGGAATGTTGTGATTATGAAATTATGACTGATGCAAGTGCAAGATAATTATATTGTGAATGGCAGAACTTTAAAATGTTAGTTTGTTTCCATCTAGGGTAGTTCAAATAATACAAAAAATCTCATTGATTGAATCAAATTAGCTGATCAGGGAGATGAAATCTTGTCTGATACTGACCAGTCACTGTTTCAAGTGTTTTCAGTAGGATGATTAGTTAATTTAGTTCTGATTAGGAATTATTTTATTAGGCAGGGGTCTGCAAACTTTTTTTAGTAATTAATTAGTGAAGTGTGGTTATCCTAAAACTCTACTGTGACTACTGTTGTCTGAGCCTACTGAATTACTGATCTAACTGCGTATATCATTAAACTGCTAATTCTAGTTCAAGTGTCATCCATTCCATGTTAAGTTAAAGTTAATATTACTACACACCAGACTTAAAGAGAAGGGGTTGTTATTGAACTTAATTTTAATGGGGAAGGAACAGGGTCTAGGCAGTAGAATGAGAATGTCACATATGTTAGTGTAGGCCTAATGTAATTAGTTACCATCCTTATATGACCTCACACATCAATGGGGAGAGGTGGGTCACATTTTTGTGACAAGGGAGAGTTAAAGCAATGTGATATCACATTGACATTATCATTAACTCTTTCGCTGCGGCGCAAGGCACAGTGCGTTCATCTGCCGTTTTAAAAAGCACAGACCAACGCGCTCTGCGTTGTTTTAACATCATGTTTCTTTCTTTGCTATTTCTCAGTTAAATTTTTTAAGAGCTATTTTTAAATAAGACTTTTACATAGTTGAGTGTTACTTCATTTTTTGTAAGTGAAACCAAGTTTTATTTGTTGTCATTTGAAGCATTATTTTAATGATTTTTTTCTACTCCTGCTATGGCTACCATAGGCCCTAGTAGGTGAGTAAATTAACAGCTCAAAAAGCTTTGAAATTTTTTATACTTCTTCTTTTGATAGTGAGGATGATTTATAGTTAGATCCATCGCATGATTCCAATAGTAGTAGTTTTAGAGCATTTGAGTTACAGAAGTGAAGATGAGGTATGCGTACGTCTTAGGGTTTGGGGAAAATATGGTTTTGCATATAATGTTTTCACATTTTATGGTTCTTTTATAATACTTATTTTATTTAAACTGAAAAAAATAAGTTTACAAACATATGGTCATGGTTAGGTAGTTCACTAAGCCGCGCGCGCCGATCGATTTTTCGGATTTCGGAACCATAATCCTATGACTGGTCAATGCCGGTAGGTCACGGGGGTCATATTTAGATTTAGTTTCCTTTGTCTACGTAATGGAGAGACAATGAACATCGGATAGTCTGTTTTGTGCACACGAGGAGGACGATCATTACAACATAAACTTTTTCACCGGACTGACAGGGCTTGTGGTAGATATCTTTCATTGGGAAAACAGGTAAATTTGCTAGCGCAATATTTCGGAAACCATAATAGCATTCCAATTAATTCTTTTTGTATTGTATGCATGAACGATTTAACTAGCTGAAACAAGAAACATGATGACATTTAGATAGGTCTTAAATTGTGTAAACAGGGTGTCAATTTAAGCATAATTCGTAACAAGTTATCGATTAGGCCAAATGAACCGGAAGTGATAACCATTCTCTGTTATTATTATTCTTATTGCATAAGAAGTATTTTAAAATCTTTATAAATCAATTGTTTTTAAAAGCAGTCCAGTTCATTTTTATTATTAAACTTGTTTTTATTTCATGAATAACAAATTTATAAATATTTTATACATACTGGATAGACAGCATAAGTAAAATCACTATTGTCTTAATTAATTAATAATTTAATTACAACATTATCACACTGAATTACACAATCTTAAATTACATACATATATCATATATCAATTAAATAAAGAAGGTACCTTTTGCTACTTATGTTAAAATCCTCATTTTGTGTTTAATTAAATCAATTTTCTATCTCTATTTCAGTTTGTCTGGATTACTAGACCACATTGAATTACAACGAGTTTGTGTTGCGGTGAAGCAAAAATAATGCCTCTCCTGCCTCTACTGACTGCCCAGCTGTGCCAAGTGTTGCTTCGGCAAAACATCTCTAGATACGTTTCTGGAATATGGCCTCTACTGCCAAAATGTGTCTGCGCGAACAATTTCACTTAAATTGTTGTACTGGTCTTTCCTGTTTTAACAAAAACCTATCAGGTGCGACTGCATGTCCAACTGGACAATCCACCACAATATGGACCACCAGAGCATAATCTTAACAGCTATTGATATTTTTCACCAACTACTGCATTTATATGGCAATTTATACACTCAGGACTCATATTTATCATCATGATGGATGGAAGCAACAATATTGACACAAAGTAAACCATTTTGAAAAACCATTCATAACCAATGGTATCTTTAACTGTTACAAATTTGATCAAGATTGCCATGGACTCGGCCAACACATTAATTTTGACCATCATCTTTCTATGAAAGAAAATATCTCTCTTTTATTCAGCCGTTCAATGAACTATAGCAGTACTAATATAATATAAAGTGATCATCATTTGTACTGTGGATTTCAAATAGCATGGCTACTTGGATTATCAATTTCATGGATTGGCTCATGGATGATTGGATTTAACATATGTGATCAGCATTTTTTCAATGCGATTTATCCATTATTATACATTATTTAATAAATCTTTTCTCTGAATTTATTCACAGTATTAATATTAATTTACTAGATGATTGTGTGCATTAACTCAATAGGTTGAATTAGTAATATTTATGCAATTTGTATTTTTATATAAATTTAATGTATTTAAATTTATTAATTTATTAATAGTTAAATGGCTTATTATTACAGCCCAATATCTGATTAAATTATACTAAAAATTTGAAGGCTTTAACTTAACAGGTACAAAAAGTTATGACATTTTGAGAATTGAGAACAGGCGCTACATTTTTAATGAAATTTACTTACGCTCTATTGTACAAATCCCAGGCATTAATATATTTATTGTAGTATTTGCATATCAATGAATTCGTTAATTGAAATGGTTGTAAATTTTGAAGCTTTACCTTTGCTGACTAAAAAGTAATTGCATTTTGAGTGTCAAGGATGTCTTTTTTTGGATCACAGAATTTGGGAAATTATTTACTAAGGCTATATAAGGAAAAATTCGGACACTAAAAATGTGATAACTTTTTTTTTTCGAAATAAGGTAGAAAGATAAACTTGGTATCAATGGAAAATAAATACTGATACTGCTATTCAAAATGCATAAAAACATATATTATTTTGGATGGCAGGAACAACTAGCAATAACATAAAATGAAATTTATTTTCTTACTATTACGCACCACAGGTGTTTTCACCCCTGTTTAAAAACCACTTTTGTAGGGAAAGGTTTCTGTCACAGGTGCAGTAATTTGATATCCATGGGAGGTGGTTTTTGTAAAGGTTTGTAAAGGACACTAGTGAAAAGAGGGATTTTTTAGGGGGGGGGGGTGTGTGCAAAGGCTTCTGATGCTATGTTTAAGGAGGGGTTTCTGATTCTGATAGGGTAAGTTGCCGCATCCATGTACTGCCATATGTGCAACGCTTTGGGAAAAGATGCGGCTATCCTAATGTCTCCTAGCGGGTGCCAGGGGAGCCTTGAAACTCTCAATTGATGTCCAGTCCACAGCGGCATTGTCCAGTTGCTTCCAAGCAATTATTGTTCATGGAAAGAATGATTGTTTATATTGGACTGTGTTACACCGAGGCACAGTGAAGCATTTACTATTGTTCCAGATGTAACTGCTCATGGAGTTGTCAGAGGTGAAGTCAGTGTTTATTGAGCGTTTGGCTTTGATTAAGTGACCTGGCTTCTGTGGGGTGAGATACGTGTTAGCTGGGATGGACGGCACTAGCTGGTGACCACTTTATATAGGAATGTTAGATGGAGCTTTTCTCGTCTGTCTTTAAGGGAGGGAATGTCAAATCTATTTAAGAGGTTTGTCTTACTTTTTGTGACAATGGGGGAAGGGGCAAAAATCTGCAAAATGTTTGTGACATTTATGGAGGGCACCTTAGAAATACATTATTACAAATTTTACATTATTTTTAAAGGCTAGGTCCTATTGGCTATTGACCCTATGAAATAAAAACTTCATAGAAATTTTTTTGTGATTATTATAAATTAATTTCCTTCTGTTGCTTTGTTTTTTCATAATCACAAATGAACTCTCTTGCCTAAATATTGCAACAGTAAATTCAGTAATAGTAGTAGTAGTAATATTTTAATTTAGTCTAAAATGTCTCTAAACAACATTGTCCACCATATGCCTGGTCCTGTGTTTGTGATGTCATATTTGACCTAATTATTTGTTTATGCTATAATCAGAGATTTGTAGCAGACTTTTTGTCTGAGCTCCACTCCTGACAACTTTTTGATCCAGCTCTGGGCAAGAAGACCCTGCCCATGAGCTCCGCGGTAGTTTATTTTATAGTATTCAGAAAGCCCAGGTTAACTCCTGGAGATGTCCCATCAATACTCTGCACAAGAACATTTTGTGCTAGAATCTGCTTCATCAGCCACCTGCGCACCCATAGCCAAGTTCACAATTAGCATATACGATAATTAAAATGGTCATAGTTGATTTCAAATCACGAAGTATATTCTTAATTAATCTCAAATTCAGCAGACACAGAGGTTAATTTTTCTTGCTTATGATCGTTCAAGTTTAAAACCAGCAAGAAAAATCATAAATGTTGAGAATTCCATTTTTTTGTCCACTCAAAAGCCTGAAAAACAACTAATAATTTTTGTTTTGCTAACTTTTATGAAATCATTTTATAGGCCTTATTGTATTTTAATGGTTAACAGTTAATATTTATTTAACTGTTATCATGATTTTCAGTCCGTTTATAAATGCTGTTGTTCTGTCTCTTAAAAAAATATTTTTAGTAATGAAAAATAACCGTGACGTTTTATTTTTAGCAGATAACTGAAAGAGCCTGCATATAGTAAATTAAAACAAATCTACAGTTTTTTGTTTAAATTTTAAACTGCTTTGAGAATGTCAAATCCTGGAGAATGTATCGCTGTTATAATGGCTGCTGGAACTGGATCAAGAATGACAGACTTGACCCACCAGTGTCCTAAACCGTTGTTGCCTATGGGTCGTTTTCCTATGATATGGTATCCTATCCGATCTTTAGAAAAGGCAGGGTTTTCTGGTAAGAACAGTCATTTTTTTATATTATGTTTAATTATCTTGTCAAGCAAAGAACACTCTTGTAACTGCATCGATTTATTTTATTTCTTAATAAAAATTGAAAAATTAATATATTTCTTAAATGGTTTTTAAGAAACTTTTTAAAATTAGTGAATGCTATAGTCTTATGAAATGAAATCATCCAAGTCTTGTTCTTTTTCAGACATCATTATTATAACACGACAAGGTTGGCATGACCAAATTCAGAATGCTTTATCTGTTGATGGAATACCTGTCCGGGCTCGGCTGGAATATATAGAAATTCAAGATTCAGATGAAGGAGGAACTGCTGATTCTCTAAGGCTCATTGCTGATAAAGTCAAGGTCCTTATTTATATGGTTACATTACTATTAGTTTCATGGATAAATATTGAGCATAATTGTCTTTTTCAACTATTGACAGACTTTTAATATTTTTAAAAATTGTCTTAGCTCTGTTAAGGGCTGATTGCTGGAACAGCATGTAATTATCTGTCTTTTGCCACAGACAAATGTCTTGGTTGTGACTAGTGACCTGATCTCAGACTGTGACTTTTCTGAGCTTATGGCTGTACACCGCAAGCATGGCTCATCCGTGACTGCTTTGTTGTCACAGTTGCCAACAACGCTTACAGCAGACACTCCAGTCCCAGGATTTAAATCAAAGCAGCGGAACATGGCAGGTACATCTTGGCATGTGTGTTGTATATATAATTTAGAAAAGAGAAATAATGAATTTCTTCCCAATAAATATTCTTCAAAAATATAGGTGTATAATTGGTATAAAATAAAAATCATGGTGGAGTGTTTACAAATATTTAAAAATTGTATTGTAATATCCTTTCTTTCCATGGATCAGCTGAAAAAATATCAATTGGTTTTGATGCAAACAACATGGAACATATATTGTACTGGAAGGCTCAGATTGATATGGAGGATGAGTTGATTGCATTCTCTAAGAAATTTTTAGACAGGTACACTTTTTAACTATGGAATATATTTTATTTGTTTTACAGCATTCAATATGAAAGGAGCTTTTATTATTAATGAAACATGAAATAATTGAAAGGGTATAACTTTGGGAGAGTTTCGTCCCTTTGCAATAAATAATGCTAGAAAGTTAGCCTAAATTAATTATTGTTGTATTGCCATGACAACCAAGATATGGTTGATTCAAAATTCATGGTTTTATTTTTATTGAATAAAAATTTCAGATTTCCTTGTTCAAGAATACAGAGCGCATGGACAGATTGTCATGTTTATATGATTAACAAGTTTGTTGTTAAATACCTTCAGGAGAAAAGGTACGCAAACACAATTGACCATAAACATATTAATTTATTATTTGTAAAAATCATTTTTATGATCTTACTCCAAAACTTTCAAGGGCACAACTTTATTAATTTTACTTAGTGAAATTGAAAAGGTATTTCACTATCTTAATATTTTTTATGGATATATTAAATTGTTTAGCATTTTTGCCAATGGATTAGTCTATAATATGAATTATAATATTGCATATGGGGGGTGGGATCTGGACTATTACAAACTTATGAAAGTTGACAAGTTTTACTTATGCATCTTTGCGCTGCCCCTATTTACAGAGTGAAAAAAATCATAAAATCTCATAATTGTTTTCAAGGGAACTGAACACCATTCAAGGTGAATTGATTCCCTTGGTTGTAAGGAAACAAATGTCCACCTATATTACAGACAGCCCTAAAGATGATGCAGACATGAACAGTCCTAATGGTGATGGTAAACTGAAGAAAGGTAGAGCATATGCTTATTGTTTTAGAAATCTGGGTTGAAAATAAACAGCCGTATCTATAAGTATTGGCTAGCAAGAGCACAGTAATTTTCTTTCAAATCATACAATTATTGTTGTTATCATATACATCATTTAGCCTGCCTGTTTTGTTTTTTTTTTGTCTTTTGTTAAATTATTCTAATAAATGTAGCAATATTTTAAATTCAATGCTAAATTTATATTTTGCAAGCGGTAAGTTGTATTCTAATGTGACATTACAAATCCAATCAAAATATATGGTTGCAATTTAAAAATGATGGAGTTGCTCATATTTTTCCATTAACATATTTTGACAACGTTCAATTCATTATGATATTAGTATTGTTGATCTTTGACCCAATTACCTGTTTTTCCTCAGATCTTATTGACTTTGCTGTCAAATTTGATAATGAGCTGATTAGTTGGGGTAAAAATTTATCATTGACCAGTAACACTTTTGGTAAGTTTAAGTCCATTCATGCAAGAGAGAATTATTGCCATTTTTTTAAAATATCTATATATATAATTCCCCAGCAAAGGTCAAACACCACCATCACCACGCAGTCTATATATAGATACTCCAGAGTGTGGTTCACTAGCGCGCAAAATATAATTCCCGATAACTACGCTAAATGATATATATCTATTTTTAATAAGGCAATTGCGTTTAGTGCGTAATATTTTCTTTTCAGAAATGAAATCGTCTCAATTTAAGTATTGTGTAAAAATATTCGGTTTAAAAGTGGTTGGGACATGAGAATATTAATATAGTTCATGGGTGTGAAATAAAAAGTGTGCAGTGACATATCATGGGGGAAGGGGTGTAGCAAATATTGGGATTCTTAAATGTGCTTAACTTGAGTTCACGTTTTTGTCAAGTAACCTTAGTAGATGGGAAGTTCACACATTGCTGTCGCCAATGTTTGGCGGGCTCCATCTAGTAGATGGGAAGTTCACGCATTGCTGTCGCCAATGTTTGGCGGGCTCCACATAGTAGATGGGAAGTTCACGCATTGCTGTCGCCAATGTTTGGTGGGCTCCATCTAATAGATGGGAAGTTCACGCATTGCTCTCGCCAATGTTTGGCGGGCTCCATCTAGTAGATGGGAAGTTCATGCATTGTTGTCGCCAATGTTTGGCGGGCTCCATCTAGTTACTTTTATTTAATCAAAACTTGTTTACATTGATAGGGATCCTCTTAAATTTTAAAAAAAAAATTTTTAAATCATTGTTGGAAACTGAGGTGATATATCATTAAACATTAAAATTGACATTCATTACATAAATATTTGTATGCTACCTCTTGATCTGTTATGTTATGTAACATTGTTACTTCAGGACAAAGTAAAGATGCTCCACAGAAGGATTTGATCAAATGTTACGCCTATAGGCAGACAAGTGGCTTTTGTGTGAGAGCTAATAATATAGCAGCTTATTTTGAAGCATGTAAACAGGTAACATATTTCGTATCTGCCTTTTTGATGCTGCTTAATTACCATAAACAACAACTAGAGTATTCCAATCCTTGGCCCTTAGGCTGAATTAAACTTAGTTCTTTTTTTGGAGATGTCGACAATGCAGAATTTTTCATAACTTTGGCTCATGCAAGTGATTTTTCATGTAAAATTATTGGCACATCTCTTATATATATATATATATATATATATATATATTTATATCTATAAGTATAAATAATACAACATCTCTTTATTTTTCTCAGATGCCACGACTAATAACGAAGTTTGTCACCACAAAAAAATCTGATGAGTTGCCTAATATGCCAGAGTCGACATCAATAAAACCAAAATCACAGGCAGGGATAGTAAAATATACCAATATAGAAAGACTTGATTTAAATTTGTACAATTATTTTTTTACTTTTTGGCTCTTTATACAGTAGTTGAAATTGTTGCATCTATTTTAATGATCCAAACTTTCATATGTGCCTTGTTTTTTTGTGTGGGTCAACACGCAACTCTTTACAGCTCTTATAAGATATAGTGATAAGAAGATATAGTGATACTCTTCTTATAAGAAGAAGAAGATATAGTGATGTTCTGTTTGGTCTTTTCTCTCTTACCGGTATTTTGCAAAGTTCATAGATGAGCTTTAGTGTAAAAAGGTAAAACTGTAAGGTGGAAAATAACAGCAATCATATCATGTGCAAATTTATTCTTCTGTTATTTTGTTTGACTGTGATTTTAAGATTGAAAGCAGCAAAAAACTCATAATATTTCAAATAAATTATAAGGCTCCCATGTTTAACTAGGTTGGAGCTGACTGCATGTTGGGGGAGTGTGTGACCATTGGTGAGAAGGTTTCTATCAAGAAATCAGTGATTGGCAAACATTGCAAAATTGGAGACAAGGTCAAGATAACAAACTCTGTTATTATGGGTCATGTGAATATTCAAGAAAGGTTTGTCTTAAACACTTTGTTAAAAATAAAATTAATAAATAATGAAACATTTTTACTGTTACAATAAATAGGCAAAGATCTTGAGATCATTTTTTCATCTTGTCTTGTCAGTTGAAAAATGTATTGCAAAAAAATGAAGTGTTTAAATGTTCATTGCCAAGTGATTAAAATTGAGACAATGTTTTAATGTGAAATCTCATTTCTGGTATTGTTATTTTATATAAGGAATTATTTGTGGACACGTTAAATACATTTCTTATAATAGAAGAAACTTTAAATTTTTTTCAGTTCAAATATCACAAACTGTATCATTGCTGATTCTGCAAACATTGGAGATAAATGTGAACTGATTGGTTGTATTGTTGGTCAAAACCAGAGCATTTCAACTATGTGTATGTTTATCTCTTTAACAATTTTGTTCTTATAAATGTTACATATTAACAGACAAAAATGGGTTAACTTAAAAATGAATTTAAGACATAACAACAGTCAACAATAATGAAGCTGCATCAGCCATATTAAAAAAATCACAGTATTAAAGCAAATTTGTTAAACAAGATGACTGCAAATAAAAGTTATAAAAATTATTAATATTGAAAATCTCTTCAACTTCTTGAGCTATTATTCAGTGTAGTTATTTTGTCAATTTCCCCACCATTGCCTTTATATATTAATATAATTTAACTATTTCCCCACCATTGCCCTTGTATAGTAATATAATTTAACGATTTCCCCACCATTGCCCTTACACTGTAATGTAATTTAATAATTTCTCCACCAGCACCCTTATATTGGAATGTAATTTAATAATTTCCACACCATTGATCTTTTAATGGTAATGTTTATTAGTTACACAATTTTTGTATCATTTATTGTTTGATTGATATGACTTATTTTAAAGAATTTTTATTCAATCACAGCGAAATACACAAACGAAGTTTTAAGTAACACATCACAAATGATGGAAGTTCCATTGGAATGACAATTAGACAAGCATAGAAAGAAACCAAGCCATCACTTGTGGATTATCAGCTTCATTGCCACACTACTTTGTTTGCTTATAAGTGTATGTTATATTACGCTTCAATCTAGAAATTAAAATTTAATTATCAAGCTCCAACTATTTCCTTGAATTTTATTTTGCATTGTCAACTTCAATTTCCATGTTGTTGTTTTTTTTTTTTTTAAATTTTGCTTGAATATCAAAAGTTTAAAAAAATGTATAATGATGATGCATTTTAATGTAACTCTCAACTACTTTGAATGTTCTTTAATCATCTCCTGGCAAAAAGACTGCAAAGGGAAGAAGAAGTTGGTTATATTTTAATTTAATCCAAAGCTCAAAAATATAAGTTTCTAAAAAAACTACTTTTAAAACTGAATTAGAAATTAATTTAAAAACAAAGAAACTCTGTAATTTTTTTTAAATTAATTATTTTTTTACTTTGCCATATTACAAAAGTGGACATAGCTGCGTAGTTTCTTTAGTGTACAGTATTTTCATTATTTAGTTAAAAATATCTCCTTAGAAAAGGTTCAAGGCAATTCAAAAAAGGTGATTCAATATACTCAAAAGGCATAAAAAGTATTTTTATTTCTGATTATTTATATAATTTAATTGACTGAGTGCAGTCAGAAAGACAGCCTGAGTCAGAAAGACAGCCTGGATTTTAAATTCCAAAGGAACCAGAAGTCAGAAGGTATTCAGCCAGTGATGGACAACTACCACTCCAGTCTTCCATTCCTTTCTTGAGACAGGCTCATTTTCTCATCAGCTGCTTAGGAAAATGAAGGATTTAGGTAGAAAAACCAAAGTGGATACATTCTGTTGAAATGAATGCTCTTGGCTATCTTGGTGTAAAATATGGTGCAATGCTGCTTAAAGTATGGTATTTCATTCAAGCAGTGCTTATACCGGTACTATTTAAATATTATGTATTAAATACATGTACCCGGTATATTATATACTGTACTAAATACACTATATATTATATACAAAAAAAGTAAGTTCTAATAATTTAGTTATGATGAATTTAATCTACTAAATGAAGTTTGAAGATTGTTTTTAATAACAATTTTTGTTCAATCATATTGTAATAATAGATATAGTAAAAGACACTGGGATTTGCAATGTATTGCCTTAGTTATTAACAAGAGTCAATAGCCATGCTGAAAGAACAATATTAATCTATTCAAAATTACAAATTCTATAGATGGCTTTTCTGAATTTAACCTAAATAGTTGAATCATACTTTGAACATCCCCTTTGCATCTCATGTCTATGTTGTAATTCAAACAAGCTAAATCTGACATGATGATCTAGAAAAAAAATTTATTATTTTTTTCTGACCCTTTTTTTGTTAATTTTATTTTCTACCAAAATTAAAATATTTTAATTAATATCGAATTGAGGACCAGATATGAACTAGGTATTAATTTGAAAACTCTACTTCAAAAAATGAAAGAACAAATCACAATGGTAAACCTCATGAGTGCGAACAAGTTTTTGGTGAAAGCTGCTAGTCTCTAGGCAAGATTAAGCACTGGTTAGATAAAGGTGGCTGCCATTTTGGATCTGGGTTGTTGTGGTACATCTGTCTAAAAGTGGTAGTGTCTATTTGTTTGCCTGTATGCGACTTCATCTCAAGGTACATTCCTTGAAAAGAAATTGTAACAATTACATAACTATTCATGGTATAGTTGTATTCACTAATTATTTACAAAATAATAAAAGTAAGAACAAAACAGGAAACTATATTTTGTATACAAATTACAAAGGCTACACTTTCAATTTAAGACATGATCAAATCAAGTGCAAAAATTTAATCCTTAAAATTATGTATTCAAGACTATTTTAATATATATTATGAGATAAGATTATAACTTTGAGTTTCAATGTGGTTTGACAGCTTTTTTATGCTTCATTAATTTACAAAATTGTATAAGAGCTATTGATTTTTAAAATACAACCATTTGTGATACCAGTTTCAAAAACCATAAATAGGACAGTTAGCTTCATAAAAAAATTAATACCTAAATTGTTCTTTGGGGGAACAGCTATACTCCTATTCCAGTAAGGCTCTTCAAGAAATAAGAGATCTCTGATGTTTTTGGATATTATCTGTAAAGAGATAAATGATTTTAAACATCAAATATTGATGTCATTCTAAATCAAACTTATTATATGATTACTAAAAATATAACTAATATCTAAATATTACTGAATTTGATTATTCTGTAAAACATAAAAAGAAGTTTGTTACTTTGCAACAAATTGGAATAGGAGTAACCACTTAAAATAATATATAGTGTTTTATATATATTTTATAAATATCCACCATTTACATTATATATATCTATGTGGAAGACACAGTCGAATTTTCTTTTTAGAATTTATATAATTTTGTTTAAACAATAAATAGCATTCAAGTAAATTAATTATACATAAAAGTTAATTAACAATGCATTACCTTGATATGCTCAAAATCTGTTATTCCTATTTTAGGAAATGCTGAAGCATGAAGACGGCAAAGTTTTCTACCATTTATAAGATTGGTTAAAATACAGGCCTGAGAGCATAAAGAAGATTATTAAATTATTATTATTTGTTTACAATTTTAATTTACTTTTAAAAAAGGTGACATTTTAATATTTTCTACTAATTAAAAAATACAGCAATATCTAGGTCTGTATGATATCCTTCTAATTCTATTATTTTTTAAATTAAAAAAGCTTTAAATTTGACATATTTAGTCTGAGCTAAGACTTACATTAGCAATTGGTCATTAGGCTACTCAACATATTAAGGTCAATTCTCATGGTATGTTACTCACACAATGTTTAGCAATACTTTTATTTATATGGGCAACATTTTGGGAAGTCTACCACTTGATTGTCGGTTATGAAAAAAATCATGTTGTTCCATTGAAGTGTTATTTAAATAGTTATTGTTTTTTTGATGAGATAAAATTCTTTTATTGATCCACATAAATGGAAATATTTTTATGACATTGTACATATTTAAGCAATTTAATAATATTTCAAATAGAAAAATTTCCACGCAAATGATTGCGGGTTTGAACTCATGCAGGTAAAATTTCATGGCTTGTGCCAAACTGTCTTTTCAATTTCCACTTTGCGTGCTTCTACATATTTTCAAGTCTGTGTGTGGACACCAACGTAATTGAATTGACAAAATTTTGTTCATGAACAACGTGTTCGTAGATTCCGTGTCTGATGTGGTTTATGTTTGCATAAGCCTCCATAAACAACCCATCCGTCTGATACAATGAATTGGCCCAGAAGGATGTATCACTCTCTGCACTCCTGTAACGAGGGCAATCTGACACTTAATGAGAAAAAAAGTGCCACTCTCTCTTTCTATGCCACCAAAAACCCAGTGGCACTCTCCACTGCACTATTAATGGACATCAATAAAAGAATAACCTTTTAACTCTTTTTTAATGAATATGTGTAATAAATTGTTTTGATGATTAGGTGCAAAGAATGAAAAAAATCTAACTGCAATTATTTAATAACATTTATTCATTCAGAAAGAAAATTAATTTGTTTAATATTATTTAATATGCCAAGCCAACCACAACAACTTTATTATATCTCTCAGATATATAATATAACAAGAAGTTGTAATAATCTGCTGTCATGCTTTTTCCTAACATTCACATATTCATCAATCACCATGTAGACAGGTAGATATTGTATTATTGTAAACACCAAGACCAAAGTTCACAAAAACAGAGAGTTTTGCATTGGCTAATGAGTATCCCTAATTTTCATTACAACCAAACATACATACCATACCCATAGTGAAGTGGCTAGAGAGTTAAGACAGTAGTGTTACTGGTACTAAGTGAGTACTAATAACTAAGACTAAATAGTCATTTTAAGAGTAATTTAATTAGTTCAGATCTTTGCTGTGAAATAGACAGTAGTAAACATTTGAATTTGTTGTCTTGAAAAAAAAATGTAGCTTAAATTAATGAAACAATTTGTTACATAAGTTACAATGAAATAGTTCAACTATTCAACTCTATAGCCATAGCCGTAGACTACGGCCGTAGATAATTATTGGAGTTTGTAACTGTGTTGTTGCTAATGCTATATTTTATTTATTTGTTTATAAATAATTTATTTATGCATTTATTTAAAATGTTAACTAGTCAAAACTAAGTCTAAGTTAAGTAACTATTATTGTATTAACTAATTATTATTATTAACATAAGACATAATTAACATATGAATATGAATTATGATTCGATTTCAACTAAGTGTACTTTTTATTGTGTTATAAAAATCAAGAACATTATTTAATTTAAGCATCACTTTATATTGAGGAAACCCCAGCTCCTCTATCCAATCTGCTACATGTTCAGTTGTCCAGTAAAGGGCAGAGGGTATCCGTTTATCTTTTAAGTCTTCTACTATTGTGGCCTGGGCCGAAGCCATCTTGTTTACGGTTTCCTAGCACTAGCATTATCGCCGGGGGTATTCGTTTTTAAATTAGTAATGTTGAGGTCTCCATTTGCTGGGGGGTGAGATTATTTGGCAGATTTCGTATGAGGGATTTAAAATTATTTATTTGTGTGTAATTTGTGTTTTTGCGTGTTTGAAATGTTCGGTGGTAGGGGGAAATATTTATCCAGTGTTGTCAAATAATGTGAAGATTAGGCCTATAACTTGCTAAATTATCATTGGCTTTTAATTATATTAAAATTTGTGTTGACTCTTTGTCAGGCTACATGAAAGGGACAGAGGACGCCGATAAACAAAATTTCATTAAAATAAATTGATGCACGTCTTAAAAACAATATGAATAGATATTGAGTCTAAACTAACTGTTAGTCTAAAAGCCAATGTATGTAATGAATATATGTAGCTACTTGATGTCTTTTTATATGACTCTATTATCATCAACGATGAGCCGATTTTGAAATCCTTTATATTAACCTAGCTTTTGTTCGTGGCTGGCTGGCAAAACCTTCGGACGGCTAATGGACCCACTTTACGTCAACCTATCGAGCTGAAACTTGGCACATAGACTCCTTGCCAATGCAAACACATTCTTTCAAATTTTACGCCCCACCTCTTAACCCCAACCCCTAACAATAAGTTTTTCCTGTTTTAAAAGGGGAGAGGATTGTATGAAATATGGTATGTATGGCATCTTTCCGTCTGCGGGAGACGATAGATTATCTTTATTGCTTGCAGCTCTTGGTGTGGCTGGTGAGACCAATCCTCGAGTGGCAGTCTCTGTTACATTTCCCACACACGAATGCGGTGGAGCAGTATTTACCGGCCTTCCTCCTCGCTCTTTTTGCAGCTGTTTCCGCCCTGTTTTGCTCCTTGGCATGTAGTGATCCTGCCTTCACGATGTCCCTCCATGAGGATCGATCCTCTGCCAGCTCCTCCCAGTTTGAGATGTCGATGTTGGCCGACTTCATGTCTCTTTTGCATATGTCTAAGTATCTCAGATGAAGCCGTCCAACTGACCTTTTCCCTGTCGCCAGCTCGCTGTATAGCACGTCATTTGGTATGCGACCAGCGGAGGCGTGTCCAAGCCAGCGGAGGCGTCTTTGGATTAACATGGCTGGGACGCTACACATGTTTGTTTGGGACAGGACATCCGTGTTGGGGACTTTGTCTTGCCATTTAATGTCAAGGATGTGGCGCAGGCATCTGAGAAGGAAGCCATCGAGCCTTCTTTCGTGGTTAGAGTATCTGGTCCACGACTCGCATCCATACAGAAGTTTGCTCAGTACGCAGGCCTGGTACACCTGCAGCTTAGTTCTTGTTGTGAGTTTGGCGTTTGACCAGACTCTTTTCTTCAGTCTGGCCATAACAGTTGCGGCCTTCCCTATCCTTCCACTTATCCCATCCTCCATTGAGAGGGTGCTCGATATGTTGGATCCCAGATATGTGAAACTGTCAACAGTATCCAAGTGAAATATATTTGAATAAAAATTATAAATAGCAAACCAAGACTGTTTTAAACTATTTTTTTTAATTGCCCAGTATAAAATTCACAACTAAGCTTAGCCCTACCCAAATAATCTTTAAATTCATGACAAATTTAAAGTAATATTTTGGGGAAGAAAAAAACAACACTTGGTGCCATTTGACTGCCAAATGGTTGTAAAAAACGGTGTGGTTAAGAGGACTGCATTTTTTAAACTCATTGTGGCAACGAGTTGTTTCTTTAGACCATCCAGGACTTATCGCCCCGCCCCTCGCTGACTGCCAGCGGTAGAAGCATATTGTGTAAAATATGGATTGTAGACTTAAGAATTTTTGGGTTTTTTTTTTTTTTTTTTTTCTTTTTTTTTGGGGGGGGGGGGTGATTGCCATGCCCCGAGGGGCAACAAACCCTAACTACACCACAACTTGCAGCATTTGATCGCCACCGAAAAAAAAAAAAGTTTATTTATTTCATTGTATACAGACAATCGCTTATCCAAATTTTCTCACATGCAAACTGTAGCAAATAAAGAGGCATATTTTTGTAAAGAAAATTCTTTTATTGAACAGAAATAAAAATAGAAATTTTGAGACATGAATTTGTCTGGGAATCAGTCAATGATTGTTCACAGCGAACCGATCCCTTTATGCCTCTCAAATGGACGAGCCATTGAACTTGGTTTGATTTATGTACAACAGGTTTTCACAGCCGCGCAGCTCTTGTCGGGGGCTGTTTTCTTGATGTATTCGAAAGGATTGACGTCCTGTGGGTTATTTAAGAAAAAAAAGTCTTTCTCCAGGCTTAAAACGCTACAAGGTGATACAAGCAATAAAATTAACAGAGAGCGGAGCACCCGGTTGGCAAGACATGTTTGCGTCAATACCGGAAGCGGAGCACCTGGGGACGAGGGGGCCTTTTTTGTGGGAATACTGCTTGAATCGTACCCTTAAGTATTTATGTATTCAATAGGACATGTACAATGAACACGAAAATATGATAGGAGAAGGGAGCAGACACAAGTATTTGAGAAATTTAAATTTCCCTTGTAACAGATCATAATGTTTATCCCTCCCTCCCCACAAGCTCCCCCCACCCCCCTACAAAGGCCTACTGTATTTTGAAAAAAAAATATGTGGGTGGACCTGCCGAGGTAGTAAACATCAGCAGGCGTAAAACGTTAGAATTGTCTGCCCATCAGAATTTAGGCAATTATAGGATTTATTGAAACCTTCCCAAGCCGTCCCCAGCAAACAATGTTATTAAAGTGAAGAATATTCACAAATTAAACTGTTAAAAGTATTACTATAGAAGAACGTTTTGTAAGTAAAGTTTATAATTTATTTTTTGGTTTGGAGATGAGTTATTACTCACAAGGGAAGGCAACTCGGTGTCCTGATCTGGTTGATAAGTTTGGAAGTATTTTGAAAATCTGGACGAACTCAGGATTTCAACAAGATGGCTGTCGACGGTTTTCATTTGTCCTTTCTGAACAAAGCAAACAAAAATCCAAGCAATAGAAAACAAAATCTTTTAGAGATTAAAAAAAAATCAACTAAAGCTAAATATTTGTATTATTATCTTTTTAATTGTTGAACATGCCGTTCCTTACAAACAGTTCTACAAATCTTAACTTAAGTTCCATTTCTTGAAGAGAAAAATAAGAGCATGTCATTGCAAATAGAGATTTTAAAAGTTTCAAGGGGAAACTTTCCAGTTTCGAGCCCCAATGTTACCGTGAATGTGTAGCCAACATCAAATCGCAGACTGTCCTCGAATCCCCGGATGTTACCCTGGTAGACAATCTTTGATTGAACCGAGAGCTTGGAACCTGTCGGCTTTTTGAATAATCTATAGGTCACTGAAGCATATTGCACATTGCCTGTAGGGAAAAAAAGTCAGTTTCAAACATACGCATATGAAACATTGGAGTATTACATGCATGAGCTAATAATATGTGCGTTTAACGTATAACTTGCACGTTTTTAAAACAGTTATTCCGCTTTATTCTTGAGGGGGAAAAAAAAACAAACTAATTATGAAACAGTTTCAAACTAAGACCACAATGTACAAATCGAAAGGTAACACATTCCTACTGGTTGGCGACTATCGTAATGTGCATACCAAGTCTGTGTTTGATGCCCTCATCGAGGACGGGCATGGCATCTGCCCTCACCATCCTGGGGATACTAAACCCAAGCTCCAGAGCAATATCGTGTAGGTCCTTGTAGGTCAACGATCCGATGAGACCTTCACCTGTTGGCACGGAAATCATCGGAATCAAAGTGTGTTTTTTTTTACAGCAAATATCGATTAGTTCTTATAATTCTTCAATCCACTCCAGCTTGTGCTCATCATCCTTGAGCTATTTCTTTTTTAAACTATTTTCCTCTGTGCAACAACAGTATGGGAGATTAGCTAACACACACGTATTCTGTTGAGGGTTTGAGATTACTCTCATGAAACCCCAGCAAGTACATTGGCTATATTCCAGTTCCATCTGCTGAACTTTGCCATGTAACAGTGTCTTCAAGTAGGTCTCTCCCGCCGCCCTGACCTCCCCTGAAACGTCTAGTGAGGGACATTCGGTCAACAGATGCTAGCGTTTCTGGGACCAGGCTGCAAAGCCAGCAGGAGAAATTTGCTATAATATTCTCTCTACACTAACCATCAAAAGATTAGCCACTATTCTCCCCACAATGACCATTAAAATTGGAATTGAAGAGTAAGCTGAACCTACAAACTATGATGATAATGGAAAGGGCGTCAGGATGATAATAAAGATGATGTAAGGACAATGGATGATAATAAGGCGAACGCCAAGACAAAGGATGATAATACATATGGTGCCAAGAAAAAAGGATCATAATACATATGGTGCCAAGACAAAGGATGATAATACAAATGGTGCCAAGACAAAGGATGATAATGCATATGGTGCCAAGATAAAGGATGATAATACATATGGTGCCAAGACAAAGGATGATAATACATATGGGGCCAGGAGAATGGATGAATATTCATATGGTGCCACGAGAATGGATGATAATAAGGAGGGCGCCTGGACATTGTATGATAATACAGATGACGTTAGTAAAAGCTACTACTATCTGTGTTCACATATATTTCACTAAGTTATTTACCTAACATTTCAGCATGGTTGGGAATTAAGTTGAGCTCAAAAAATGTGTGTAGTTTTTGGTTTTTTTTTTTACGGGGAAAAAAGGAGGGGGGGGGGGGGGAACTTCAAACTTTTGTACAAGTGA